CCCAGCTTCTTGTGCCCCTCCAGCCTTCTCAGTCGGTAGAGCATGGGAAGCTGAAAAGTCCTTGGCTAGTGTAAGCATTACCTAGCAACAACTAAAACATCGGTGCGTTATCAACTTTGTTCTCATCCTAAATCCAAAACACTGTACCAGCTACTGGAAAGGAAATTAACTCTATCCCTGCCGAAACCAGGACAATTACCTATTTTTCTTTTTCTTTGTTTAATAGTGGAAACTCTTGTTGGGCTTCCATTCCCCTTTATAAGTGTGTGAACTATAGTTTCATTCCTTAATACTGAGTCATGTTTCCTGCTGGAGTCTTGAACCAGAAGGCTGAGCATACACGTGTAATTGAAGCAAATATGAAGTGGAGGGAAGAGTTCAGCAAGAGCTGACTTTTTTTCAGGCGGCTAGTGTGGAAGTAGCGTTATCTCCATTAACTGCTTGAAAAAGTGAAAGCTGGCTGAGATATACAAAGTGACGGTATCTGGTAGTACTCACACAAGACTTGCTCACAAGTATGCCTGACTACCCCTTCAGGTTTTGAACTCTGTCAGGGGTATGACTGGACTGAAGGGGTGCAACTTCTCTTTTCCGTTTTGAGTCTCTCTTCAGTTATTCTCAGCAAGTATCTATTAAACATGGTAGATGTTCCTTCTTTAAAACATAACCCCCCCCCACTTATAATAGAAACTTCTGCTTCAGTACACGCATGGCAGCACAATTTCTTAGTGGAGACAGTCCATCAAAGGAAAAAACTGATTCTTTTCAAACACAGGAATAGATTCAGAGTAGGTACAGGACAGATACTAAAACTTTTAAAGAAGGGATCCTTCAAATATAATTGTGTGTAATGATGTAATCTGCTCCCCGCTATGTGTTCTTTCCTTTTGTATCCTTTTTTTTTCTCATCACCCTGAAGCTGGGAATTGGATTTAATAGTGCAGCTCACACCTTTCCAACCTTTTTCCAGCCCCCTGCCTCAATGTAGTATAGACTCCTCATTGCTCATCTTCCCTCTTGTTGCCAAACCCTTTGCCAGGGAATGAATGCTCATCGTGCTGCTAGCGCTCTGCTATTAGTCTCTATGTACTTGTCCTGCAGAAGCTTCCTCCCACCTCTTCTTCCTCTCTTAATTTCTGCCCTGGGCCAGGTTGCATCACTGAGCACAGGAGAGGAGATGCGTCCCACAGGAGGAAAAAGCACTGTGGGACACAGCTGAGCTTCTCTCCTTCCAAAGCAGCAAAACGATTAGGGTCTCTGGTAATCTATTGCCTGTCATAATCTATGAGCTCAGCTGTTAGGACAAGACTGATGTCTGCCAGACCTTTTCCCTTCCCTCCTATCACCCCTTTTATGGAACTGCTTGTGTGCAGAACAACTCTTAACTATTTTTTTTTCTAAATCTATTTTTCTTCCAATAGAAAAAGGAGAGTGAATGTTTACAGTTGAAGATCCTGGTGCTACGTAATGAACTGGAGAGGCAGAAGAAGGCCCTTGGTCAAGAAGTAGCCTTGTTGCATAAGGAGAAGAATACTTTGCATGACAGAGGTAAGTGTAGAATCGTTACTACTTCTATTGCAGATATTCATAATCTGCTGATCAGAAGAGTAGTTGACCAAAATGAAGGTGGTGTTTTGGTTTTTGGTCTGGCTCTAATGTTTGTGCTTTTCTTTATCTGAAGTTTGCAGCCAGATATAATCTCTTCACCATCTGTGTTATACTGAATTCTGGACAGCAGTTTCTGGTATCCTGCCTCTAAATAACTTCTTACTGTGACACCTCTCTAAAGCAACCTTAAATCTGTGCTTAATTAAAATTTTATGAGAAAATCGGAAGAGCTGCGCTGTAATGCAGTAAACAGTGCCTTGATGCAGGCACGTTATAATGTCATGAGGGATGTTGTTGTACCTGTGATGAGGATCTCATTTTAAGTGTCAGAAGACAAAAATCCCTCTTACTAGCTTATTACATAAGTGAAAGGTGAAATGCTCAGTTGTCTTGGTATTTTGTTTTACTGGGAAAGTGTCCTATAGTAAAATCCTCTATCACTGTCTCTCTGGAGCTCACCAGAGGCCGAGCTACACAGATGTTTGATCTTGTTGCAGGACTTTTTTCTTTTTTTTTTTTTTTAATACCTAGTTGAGTCTAAAATAATTAGTCACTACTAAAAATGAGGGTTTGGCCTTTTACTTAATTCTGGTTATGCAAACATTGAGATGCTTTAACTGAATTACTGTGGACGTGAGGGGAACAGGTGTTAAAGGAGAATTGAGGTTTTGTTGGTTGTATTTGGCTGGTGAATGGTGTATAGTGCATGAAGACACGTGTTCCTCCTGCGCTGTCATTCCCCAGTTTGGCAGCATAACATGGAAAATGGGCATCTTGGGAGTAAGTGGAGGATTACTGCCGGCATTTGTGTCAGTATCTACTTTTAAAGCTTCAGATAACTAAGAAAATCTTTGATACTAATTTTTTTCCCCCGATTCCTCATGTTGTTTAGAAAATGCATTTGAGACTGAATACCAGAAACTTCAAGAGCATAACGAATCCCTGCATGAATTAAGAAAGGAATGCACTGCGAAGAGGTAAAAGGACCTATGCTCTTTCTGCAGTTGGAAAGGAAATACAGGCTTGAGAGTAGGCCATTTGAAGTGGGAGGACTCCTGGCACCAAATTCTTCCTAAAGTAGCCCCAAAACTTCTGTTGAGACATCTCTGCTACGATTTGTAGATATCTAAAGTGATAATTAACAGTGGCAAGTCTAGAAGAGAAGAAAACAGATGCTTGGTTGCATGTGTAGACTATGATAGGACTTTTAGCTCTGCTTTAGAGTAACACAGCTTTGTAATACTCAATTGTCATAGTCAAAATATGCCGATAACATAAGGTACAACTGAAAACGAAAAGTTAGCTTTGTCTTCTGTCGTATTTTTTTTTTGTGGAATTACCTAGCTTTTTGGGGGAGGGGAGGTGATACTTGGGAAGATGCAGAAAAGATACAAGGGCTTGATACCTTTACTTAAAGCTTTTGAAGATACTGATGGTTTTGGGATCTCTTTCCCCAAAGAGAACTGTTTTTGAAGACAAATGCCCAGCAGACTATTCGATGCAAGCAATTGCTGTCGGAGCTATCCTATATCTACCCTATTGATCTGGTATGTGTTTAACATTCTGAAAATCTGCTTGATTTGAAACGAACTTCCTGTTTATTACACTGCGAGCAAATATCTTGTTTTATTTGTGATGAAACTTGCTCTTCATTCATGCTGTTTTTTCCAGCTTTTTCTTGGATTTGGTCCTTAGATTGCAAACCTCATGGGGAGAGGATTTATGCCAGCATCTCTCAAATAGTCTCCACTATAAAAGTAGAATAGCTGTAGCTGTAATTTAATGGATACTTTCCATTTTGTTTACAATTATATAAAGTAACCCTGACAGTAGGCTAGCTGAACTTTAACGGAGTGCACATAAACAGATGTCAAAATACTGAGCTCCAAAACCTTTTATATAATGAATTAAGATGAAGCTCTTCCTTCTTTAAAAAAAGTTGCGTTTATTTCTGAATTATATGATGTGTGGACTAAAACAAGTCAAAGTCACTCTGGGTTTCATTGGATATTTAGTTTTTTCTTTACAAAAATGCTTTGTTGTCATCAGATTTTGTGCAGGTTTCTGTTTTCTGGATGTTATTGTTCCCTTCTCACTTTCCATTGTTGATTTTAAACTTGCAGAATGATCAAAAGGATTACTTTGTTTGTGGAGTCAAGCTTCCTAATTCTGAAGACTTTCAAGGTAGCTGGATATTCTTAATTTAGTTGTTACAGTTGACACTGCTTCTAAACTTCATAAAATTAAGTAAACTGATAGCAATGGCTTAGGATCCAAATTTCTGACTGGAAAGGTCTAGACTAGAAGAAAACTTACGCATTATTTATTTATTCCTACTTCCTAGCTAGCACAAAGGAAGTTACTCTTGATTCTTAGAAAAGTACCTCTGTATTCTAAAACTCGATACTGAAATGCTGCAACAGGTTACCCAGAGAGGCTGTGGAGTCTCCATCCTTGGGGATGCTCAAAACCCAACTGGGCACAGTCCTGGGCGACCTGCTGTAGCTGACCCTGCTCTGAGCAGGGAGCTAGGACTACGCGATTTCCAGAGATGCCTTCCAAATGCAGTGATTCTGCAAAATATTCTGGAAAATATTTTGTCTGACCTGAAATTCCATTGCGGCTACTTTCAGTCCATAAATCATGATGGGGCAACATGCATGAATCCCCTTTCAGTTTGCTGTAGTTGCTGGCGAACTTACCAAATAAATATCTTGCATAAGTAAGACTTTAAAGCTGCCTGACAGTATGGAGTATTTTACAAGTCAGCTTCTACTTTAACTGTCTACAGTCATCCTATTGCAGAAGCAAATATATAATATGCCTGTCTGTATAACAGTCGTGCAGATAACTGCATGCATTCATCTACAAATGTTTGACATGAATTGGAACTTCATTAAAATCCCCTCGAGAACTTCTTGCTCCCAGTGCTTGCTCACTCTGCAAGGCATGTGGTTTCTTGGGGAAAAACCTCAATCAGTTGTCTAACTCTTTAAAGCTACCCCATAGGTATTAATTTGTGCTAACAACATGTATATTGGATGATAGAATAATGGAGGAATAAACTTTAAACCAAACTAATTTGTCAGTATGACAAAAATCAGTCTATTGCTTTGTTTTCCTGATTGCACTAAATGTGGTAATGAACTCGGTTTGGTAATTCTTGAGAAATCAATGGCATGCATCTCTTGGCCCATTTTCAGTTTACTGGTATTAAATCCTTATAAAAAAAATTCTTTATCAAAGTCTATAAATATTGTATTACAAGGAAGAACTATTAAGCATTAAACTCAGTGAAATATGCAGTTAAGTGAAAACCATCTGTCGGACATGTATCTTATATCAGACTCTTTGTAGACAATAATATTTTTAAAAAATCAAGCATCTGAAGGATCAAGAAAATTTTATTCCCTAAAAAGCCGGTTTTGCTGCAAATGTTGAACACTTTTTACAAAATCCTTTTTGAAAGGGGTGTAACTTTTAAATCCATATACCGTGTTGTGTTCTAGTAGAGCTCAGTATGATTTCATAGTTGTCTTTGAACATCATTATAAGCTTTCTTAGAAGGTCCTCTGTTCAGCTGATTTCACGGGACTCCCTTGTGCCTCAGAAGGGATGACTGTCATGTTGTTTGTATTGGTGTGTTCACTTACAAAGAAGAAAAATAGAGAAAATGGAAAGGAACAAGCCCTTATGTGGCTAAAGGACGCAATTTGAATCACAAGACCTGTGTGTATTCCGGGGAGGTGGAGCTTTAAGGTTGAAACCTTAAATGTCAAATTGAAAATGATACTTTAAAACAACGGGTTAATCTAAGTTCTTCCAGTTATTGGCAGAGAACAGAGTTCATACCCCGGGGTCGGTGTATCTCCAACTGATCTCGCTAATGAATAAAGTTACGGAGGAATGCGGCTTTTCCCTGACCCCGGTCATACATGTCAGCCTCATCTAGAGAGATGCAGAAAGTTTAAGACTTGAATTTTGTCTTGGGAATTTTGCTTCACTTTTCCATCTCTTCTTTACCCTCCCCCACCCAGCCAAATGTTGAGAAGAGTTAACTTTTAGCTTTGAAAGTGTAAAATTGGAAGGAGAACAAGCCATCACCCATTTTACATTGCCCTTTAATGAAAGAGGCAAATAGTGAACTGCAAACAATCGTAAAGCAGTCTAAATTTGTTTCAGACTTGCATCTATTCTGAAGTTATAACTTCTGGTAGCTTCATTAGTTGTATCATTCCCTAAGCAATAAGGATGAACTTGTGCTGAGCCTGCAGTGAGATCCAATCGATGAAATAATGGAATCTTTTTGTTGTTGACAGCAAAAGATGACGGAAGCATTGCTGTTGCCCTGGGCTACACCGCTCACTTGGTTTCAATGATATCCTACTTCTTACAAGTGCCACTCAGGTATCCTATAATTCACAAGGGCTCCCGGTCTACAATCAAAGATAATATCAATGACAAACTGACGGAGAAAGAACGAGAGTAAGTATGTCGTAAATGTGCTTATGTACTTTCTTCAAAGCAACAGAAGAAACCTTGAACGGTTTTGAGTAGTCTGAAGTGACAGAGAGTTTGAAGTTATTTGTTACTCCTTTCAGTAGCCATGGGACAGTTGTTTGAGTTTCTCATGTTGGAATTCTGTGATCTAACAGAGTAGCTAGTCCAGCTTTGTCATTCTAGGCCTGTTGGCAGGCACATACCATTGATTAGGCTTCTAATAATGATAGAAAAATTTAAATAGTGTGTCTTCTAGGTAAGTTTCGGCTGCTGATTGGGAAAACTTGCCTTTCGTGTTTTGCTGCTGGCTCTGGGAATAGACTGCAGATAGCAAGCGTACCTTCACTGAGGAGTTACTGCCAGTGTTGTAGTAGTGGCTGATGAATGTGACAAAATAAATAGCTTGCTTTAACGCAGAGGATTTTAACCAATTGACAGAGCGCTGTAAACTTATCTACTGTGAATCAAGTTAATATTCAATGAAGAGTTTTTCATCTGTTCTGTAATCATTGTCTTTCAACATGCAGCTACACTTTTGTTGTGTTATTAGGAAACTATCTTGCTGTCCTTAAATCTACTTTCTGAATGCCTTCGCCTGCATTTTGGCGCTTTGCCTGTTTTCCCGCTGTCTTTGCACCTGCGTGCTCTAATATGAAAATGGTGGCAATTACTGGTTAAGCTTCACTTTGTAGCCTGCAACCACAGAACTCAAAGGAATGCGACACTGACCAGCTGTGGGAGGCCAGCCGCTCTGCTCTGATCCTGCGCGTGTATGGGTGGCTGCAAAGTCAGGCTTGCAGCACCAGTAACTTTGTTTCTCCAAATGCAGGGTTTGAAAAGAGAGCAAAGAAAATGGCAAAGAAGAGAAATGTATTTGTGGAAAGTAGCTGTCTCTATTGACAGGAAGCCTGTAAAAAACCCCCCTCTTCTCTTTGGAAGTATGCAATCAAAGTATTATAACATTTTAACACTAATTCCTAATAGTCCAAATCAAGGTGGAAGGGTCTTATTGTGCATAGTTGATGATATTGGGATGCTTGGAAGTGTCTGATTTCTCTTTGAAGCTCAGTGACTTTTGGCAGGACAGCAGAGGTAACTTGCCTTAAGAGTTAAGACCTCACTGAGGTCTTCCTGTTTTGCCACAATAAAATATGACTGTACAATTATGTCTTGCAAATTATCTTTGATACCATTTTAATAATTTGTCCAAACAGTTCCTGGGTAACTTCATAGAACATTAATCTGTTTTGCTTCAGTTTAGTTCTCCAAGTATATGATCATACTCCTTCCTGTACATCACTTTCAGAAGGGTAGCAAACTAGAACATTTATATCTGGAAAACAAATTTCTGAGGAGCAGAGCTGCCTGTGTGTGGGTGTATAAAGATTAAACCAATTTCCTGTTGTCTGAGACAGATTGGAAGGTTTAGTCCTTCAGGCTGTAGCCTTCCAAACCCTCATGACTTAATCCTTTCTTTCACAATAGATTTCTGAAAAGGAGAAAGTTTAGCTAAGTGTATGAATCCCTGTTGGGCCATTTACCTGTGTTCTGCAAGATCTTTGCAGGATTAGCTCCTGCCTGAGATCTTCTCTTCCCGGCTATTGGAGAGTCAATCCTACTGACTCTCAAAGGACTTCAGTTGCTATAGAAAACCTCAAATGTCTTAACTTGCAGTTTTCTTTCTAAACTAATAGCTCATGTTTCTCACCTGGTCCTAACTGAATTGAACATAGCAATTAACATGCATTATTAAATTTCTTTATTTCAGTCACCTGTCCTTTAGCAGCTTTTCAAACTCCAACATAAACTGTTCAGTAATTACAGTGAGGTTTCCTCTATACTCAGTCTTTACTATAACACATAGCATCATGATTATTGACTAGGTTAAACGTTTTACTTGGCTTCGTACTTTTTTTTTTGACTGCAGGGTTGCCCTGCAGAGAAGATTCATATTAAGAGCTTCTAAAAATCGTGCATTGGGGGAATAGCTGATGTTTTCACTCGAGAGCAATTTCATAAGTACATGTGTTTGTTTTTTAGTGTTATACTGTATAAATGTGTTACTTCACTTTCAAGTTTCTTTACCAGCTTTTTAAAGCCTTTATAGTAAGCTGGTTAAATATTTTGAGCGCTTTCAGAATGTAAGTTATGTTTGGGAAATACTTTATCTGCTTCAGATTTGTTTACTTGGATCATCCAGGTCACCTAAATCTCAAGGTTCTTGTAGAAGTATTCAATTTTGTCTGCTGCAATTACTGTTATATTGGAACTTAAGAGCGTACAAAAGAAGTAGGAGGCTGTGGTGAGAACTTAGCACTTGTCTGGCCGCAATACTGACGGTAGAATGAGGTATAGAATACCTGCCAGTAGCATACAATATATGGTCAGCTTTGTAATTGTAGAGATGTTCGTGTTTACAATCTATTGAATAACTGTTCCCTTCTTGTACTGCATAAAATAGTTTTGGTACTACTAAAAGGCTGTAAGTTTTCTTCCATAAATCTACTTTTATGACTTTCTGAACCACCAAGTTAAGGCAAGAATACGGTTTTCACTAAATATCTCATTCATGCACTTCTTCAGTGGTCCCTTTCAACATCTTCAGAGTGCATCGAATAGGTAGGAAGAGAGAGTACCATTCCTCAAAAGTTCTGGAGTCTGAAAGATTTCAAAGCAAATGATGGATATATAACTCCCAAATTTAAGCTACTTGGGACAGCAGCACGTTCCTCTCTCCAGTGACAAACATGTTTGCTGAATAAACCACCTAAATTCTTTGGCACTGTTCTCGCGGAGCTGAAGCCTAGCACTTCATCGTGTTCTCATAAACATAGTAAATCATTTAATCTCAGCATTCTTATGATATGTTCTGACGCTGTCTGTCAAGCCCTGCATTCAATGCTTCTGTTAGCCTGCTCCCAGATTTTTCATGAAGAATAGCTTCCAGTTTAGAGCAAAATAAGGATTGTTATGTCTGGAATGAGACACACTTTGAGAAATCGCCTGGGTTGGTGTTGCTGCTATTGTCGTAGTATTTTTTTTTTTATATAGTCTTCACTTCAGTTCTTTTCTTTCAATGCCGATACAAGCTAAACATCTCGCAAAGTAAATGCCTGTATTTTGCTGGCTGGAAGCTACTGAATCTTTTGAAACCATATCTGTCTCCTTGTTAGTTTTAGAGTGAGTATAGCAAAGCACACTTATGCCATCTGTTTGGGAGTCTTCTGGCATCTCTGTTGACTCAAAGCTATGCTCGGTTGCTACTTTTTATAATTGAAACTTCATATGACACTTCTACAACCTGCCAGTTGGATATTTAAGAATAGAATACTCGTTTAATCAAATCATAGAATGATAGAATCATAGAATCATTAAGGTTGGAAAAGACCTCTAAGATCATCGAGTCCAACCGTCAACCCAACACCACCAGGCCCACTAAACCATGTCCCTCAGCGCCTCATCTACACGTCTTTTAAATACCTCCAGGGATGGGGACTCCACCACTTCCCTGGGCAGCCTCTTCCAATGTTTCACCACTCTTTCAGTACAGAAATTTTTCCTCACGTCCAATCTAAACCTCCCCTGGCGCAACTTGAGGCCATTTCGTCTCGTCCTATCGCTTGTTACTTGGGAGAAGAGACCGACCCCACCTCGCTACAACCTCCTTTCAGGTGGTTGTAGAGAGCGATGAGGTCTCCCCTCAGCCTCCTCTTCTCCAGGCTAAACAACCCCAGTTCCCTCAGCCGCTCCTCATCAGACTTGTTCTCCAGACCCCTCACCAGCCTCGTTGCCCTTCTCTGGACACGCTCCAGCACCTCAACGTCCTTCTTGGAGTGAGGGGCCCAAAACTGAACACAGTATTCGAGGTGCGGCCTCACCAGGGCCGAGTACAGGGGCACGATCACTTCCCTAAATCACATTAGACAGCTTGGAAATATGTAAACTCCCCTAAGAAAAATAACGTTCTTTGGAGTTTAATGACCTTTCTGGTACCCTATGTGTGTCTGGACAAGTGAAATGCACATTCAGAGGAATTATTTCTGTTGTATTTTTGCATTCTCATTCATATTGTGTCTTTTAAAAGATTTTCAAGAACTCTTACGTCCCTGCTAGGTAATTTGGAAATGAGAATGGTTTCAAGACCTAGTTTTGCTAACATTGTTTCTCTGTAGCGATAGTAAAGAGAACTCAAATAGTACATGCAGTCTTGTTCTGTGTCCTGCTACGCCTTCTTCCCACCACAATGTGTTAAGGGAGGATTAGAAAACTAGCAGTAGTAAGAAAGTAACCACCTCAAAGTCATATTTCAGGTTAGGGGAAAATAAATGAGGGGGTAGAATACAGGATCTAAAAAGGTCTTGTATTTAAAAGACAAAAACCATAGTTTTCAAGCATAGCTACTGGAGTACCTACAGGCATTTCAGAGTTGTCTCATCTCAAAGAAGTGTTCTTTTTTTTTTCCTTCTGTTGTATGTTTAAATATTGAACTTGTTGCCACTTTATATATATTTTTTGACCTTCATAACATTAAGTTTAAAAATAAAATAAAATTAAAAACCCCAAACAGGCCCTAGACAGTCATGGAAGAAGCCTGGTCTAGTCTGGTGTATTTTTTGCAGGAATTTTTGGCATTTGCTGATCTGAGATAACAGTAAACTACTGTAAAGGTTTCCTTGGCATTTTATAGTTTATAGAAAGATTTAAGGTCTTTTCTTCCACTCTGCTTGACAAATAGAGACACCAACAGGCCGAAGGGTACGCAAACAGCTGCGATGCAGTCTTGGGCCTCTGCATTCAAAGGCATCTGACATCTTTGTGGTTATGTTTTATGACTTTGATGTACCTCAGGAACCAAACAGTCGTATGAAATGGCATAAGGAGGAGTAAAATGGAGCGTGCTGCCATGGCTTTCTAAATTATGCTACTTCTTGTCCTGTCTGAACACCTTCTGTTGTCACTAAACATAGGAAATAGGTCGGTCTGTC